TATATACATAGTAATTATAATTGTATTTATTGTTTTATATTTATATTAACTGAATATAAATTGTTTATTACCTCATAATATATATATATAATTGACTTTTTATAAATATATAGTACATATTAGAAAAATAAAAAGTGTAAGTATACTTATACATATGTATATACTTGTAAAATATATATATACTTATAAAGAGCAATTATAAATTAGCTATATATATAAAAAGAAAATTTAGTATTTTTTTATTTTTATTTTTTTTTAACTTAGGTGATCTTATACTTAGTTTATTAGTAAAAGATCTTATAAAGAAAATCATAATACAAAAATAAAAAAAAAGCTAATACTCTAAACTACTAATATATTCTACTCTTACAACCTTAGATTCATTTGGCTTGCCTTATACTACTCAGATATAATTTATTGCAAAAAGTATTTATCTTCTTAAAAAGTATTCTTACCTAAGTAGAATAGTTTCTTCAGATCAATAATAGGTTCTTTTACACTTTATCAAGGTTCTAGATTGCTTCTAATCTAATCAAAACTAAATTACAAACTATTAATATCTAGTCCAAGTTAAAAATAAAAATTGTTATATATAATAAAATGTAGCTAATTATATGAACTAAGCCTATAAGGAAAAAATCTGCTACTAAATTAAAAAACTCTTACAAGTAAAAAAAATAGAGAAAAAGAAAAGAAAAACAAACACTCTTTTTAATATAAAGAAAAAAAGAGCATAACAAAATAAAAATATTATACTATGCAAAAACAAGAATATATATCTTTAATAATTGACTCGTTTAGAAGTTAAATTCTAATTAGATCATTCACATAATAGTAATATACATATTTGTTATCTTATCTAAGTTGTATATCAACAGATAACTTGCTAAATTAAGAAGTAATATGAACTTAAGGTCTGGTGATCTTAGTGTAGTAGTTAGGTTACCAGACCGCTATGCAAGAGGTCTGAGATTCAAATCCCACTGTTGACAAATTTGAATAATTATCCAGACCTTTGTATCCAACTTACAGTAAACTCTGCTCGTTTCTGGGGTTATAACTCTGTAAATTATGTTGCAACAATGTCAATTGGATATTGGAAGTGTGACGCAATACTTGAGTTATATTACACAAATAAATTTTAATAGAATCTACAAGCAGGGGATCTGCATAGTAGAAATCCTGAGTTTGGTGAAGTAGTACGGATTTTAACAGTCAAGCCAGTTAATGTCTGATTCAGTGAAAAACCTGAGTACAAAGGATGTGAGATTGATAGGTGCAAGTAAATCTACTATGTAACGTAGTCTGGTGCCTTGCATTAGTGGCAATACTAACTTGGCTTAGCGGCTAACTAGATTGGGAGGATCTATCTCGTGAAACATCTAGCTGGAACTTGGAGGACTATATCTGGTAGACGGCTACAGCAGGAACTGGGTTTGTATGAACATCGACAAGAGTTAATCCAGGTGAATCTGTGAAATGAGCACATGACCACTCTAGTAAGAAATACTTCTGAGGTTAACTGGAGCTCTGCAGCTTATAATATGTTGAGTATACGTATTCTGAGAGGATCTAAGCTGTGCAGAGAAATGGATCTGCAGATGAACTAGCTGGCGTAAGTGGTTAGTCATAGTAGTGATATTAGTTTGGGATAAGAGAAGGATTAATGATCAGAGTATTTAAATAGATAACTCATAGGCGAGTTGCAGGTATGGCAGCATAGTGTAGAACTAACAGATGGTTGATCATCTGTATGGCAGAATACTTAAAATAAACAATGACTAAAATTGTATATGTGGCTTGTTGTACACTCATCATATAACTGTAAAATCTTAGGAAACTGTTCATGTGATAGTTCCGAAATAACAAACTAATAAAAATCTAATCAGCCAAGGAAGTGGCTTAATAATATAAAAAAAAAAAAAAAGTAATATGAACTTGCAGATTCTTTATTAGAGTTCATCAAATCCTCACTTTTTTAATTTTTAGTAAAAAGAAATTCAAAAAACCTGTAAGGAGAATGATAATAGTACCAAAAATTTTTTAAAAAAAGTATATATCTTCTAAAATCTACTATTCACTTGTATTCATCTAGAGTATAGCTAGTACTTATCTTTGTGAGTAAGTAATTAACTCTAAGCTTGTTAGCAAATAGCATATAAAAACTATTTCTAAATAACAAGCATCACTTTGATATTGCAGTAAGTAATAAACTCTGAACCTGTTAGCAAATAGTATATAAGAACTATCTCTAAATAACAGATGCTGTCTTATGCTTCTCTGCTTTGTCACTCTTATAATTTTACAAAGTTTATTATATATTTTTTAAAAAAATAAGTTAGAAAATTTTAGTATGAATGTTTGTCAGAAAAAGTTGTTTAATTAGTATTTTTTTAAACTATTTATCTAACATAATATATATAGTATATATTAAAGAAATTCTATTTTTATCTGAGTTAAAATCAACTAAAATATTAAATAAATTTTTATTTATTTTAGAATTAGAGTAAGGCTTGAGATTTATTTAAGTATTATTATATACAAAATTTTATAATGAATTTTTTGTTAATACTATTAATTTTAGTTATACAAATATTATTATAGTTTATTAGATGATTTTAATCTAAGTGAAAATAGAATTTTTCTATATATTATATATAGTATATATAGATAAATATAATTAATAATAATATTGCTATCTTTATATAAAATCATTATATGATAACTAGTATAATGTATTGTATATACAATAAATTATAAAACTCTAAAAATAGATCTGGTAATCTTAGTATAGTAGTTAGGTTACTAGACTACTATATAAGAGGTTTAAAGTTCAAATTCTACTATCGATGAATTTGAATAATTACTCAAACCTTTGTACTTACAGTAAATTCTATCTATTTCTGAAGTTGTAACCCTATAAATTACATTATACTAATATTATCTGAATATTAGAAGTATGATATAATATTTGAAGAGATGTAATATTACATGAATAAATCTTGATAGAATCTATGAGCAGAAGATCTGCATGGTAGAAACCTAAGTTAGTAAAATAGTATAGTTTTTAATAGTTATAATAGCTAATGCTTGATCTAAAAAGAGACAGTGCTCAAAGACTTTAATTAGATTAGATATATATAAGTTTATATTATAGTAGAGATTACTATATATTATAGTTATATCAACTTAGCTTGATAGCTAACTAGATTAGGAAGATTTAACTCATAATAGACTTCAATGAGATCTGTAAATAATACTAGTGAAGAGCTATAGTAGAAACTAGAGTTGTACAAATATCTACAAAGGTCTAAGCTAGATAAGTTCATAAAATAGGTATAGACTACTCTAGTAGATATACTTTGAGGTTAATTAGCTCTGCAGATATTCATAATATATTAAGTATAATATAATTCGAGAGGACCTAAGCTGAAGTTAATAAATAGATCTGCAATGAACTAGCTAGTATAAGCAGTTAGATATTATAATGATATTAGTTTATAAAAGTATAAGTTAGTTGAACAGAATATTTAAATAGGTAACTCACAAGTAGATTACAGGTATAGTAGTATAGTGTAGTACTAACAAATAGTCTAATATCTGTATAGTAGACTACTTAAATTAGACAATAACTAAAGTTATATATATAGCTTGTTGTATATTCTTTATGTAATTACAAACTATAAGGGAAACCTATGTATGATCCTATATATCAAACTAATAAAATTTGTTTAACAATATAAGCTACCTTAATAACAAAAAAGAAAATAAAAATAAAACTCTAAAAATTTTACTAAATTATTTTTTTTAAATTATAATTTAGTTATTTTTTATTTTTTTTATTTTTAAGGTAGCTTATATTGCTGAGCGAATTTTATTAGTTTGATATATGAAGTTTCACATAGAGTTCTCTTATAGTCTGTAATTATATGAAGAGTATATAACAAGTTATATGTATAACTTTAGTTATTATCTAATTTAAGTAGTCTACTACACAGGTATTAGACTATCTAATAGTACTATACTATGCTACTATACCTGTAACCTGCCTATGAGTTATCTATTTAAACACTCTGTTCATTAACCTATACAATCCAACCTAATATTATCACAACACGTAACTGCTTAAGCCAGCTAACTCATTATGAATCCATTTATTCAGAATGGCTTAGATCCTCTCAGAATACATTATACTTAATGTATTATAGGTACCGCAGAGCTAGTTAATCTCAAAGCATACCTACTAAAGTAGTTTATATCTATTTTATAAATTCACCTAGTTTAGACTCTTGTAGATATTTGTACAATTCTAGTTCTTACTGTAGCTCTCTACTAGTTTTATATATTCTATAATCTCAGATATTTCATGAAGCAGATCCTCCCAATCTAGTTAGCTGCCAAGCCAGGTTAGTATTACTGATCCTCTCTGTAGAATGAATTTATGCACACCTAACTTGATTTGCATCTTTTGATGATAGTTTTCTTTCTGGATCAAGCATTAACCAGTATGACTGTTGAAGGCTGTACTACTTCACTAACTTAGGATTTCTACTATATAGGTCCCCTGCCTATAGATCCTATCAAGATTTATTTATGTAATATTACATCTCGCCAAATGCCTCATCACACTTCTAATATCTGGATGATATTGGTGCAATGTGATTTACAGGGTTACAACTCCAGAAACGAACAGGGTTTACTATAAGTTAGGTACAAAGGTCCAGGTAATTATTCAAATTCATCAACAATGGGATTTGAACTCTAGACCTCTTGCATGGTGGTCTAGCAATCTAACCACTACACTAAGATTGCCAGACCTATAAAATAATTTATTTTATTTATACAAATATTTCATTTAGATTATAAAAATAAATTAATTGCAAATCTGTTAACCAATGTGATAAAATGATCGACATTAAATAAGAAATCACTATACGCATTTAATTATATAAAAATTCACGGCTGTAAATATCAAAGCTGACTCTTATAACAATAAAATTATGAATAACCTGCCTCGTCATAATGTTTTTTTGCTTAATGTAGGCATAATATGCCTAGAACTGCACTACGGCCCATATGCCCATAATTGGTAGTTATCTCAACCAACTAATGACAAAGATAACACTTCAGTTTCTGTTCCGTATAGACTTCATATGCATATTGGATTTACACTTAACTAACGTCAGTTTTTTATTAGAGTAGTTAAAAGTGAAGAAAATCCATTGCAACTCAGATTTGTATGTGTTAGTAATAATGAAATTAGTAAAGTTTGTTCAACACCTTCTCAGGCTATTAACACTATATATCACGTAATTTTTGGAAAGAAAACTGCATATTCTGGGCCTGCAATTCTTGGGTTTAATAACGAACAAATAGTAGAAAAATTACTAAATGGAATAAGATTTAGACCTCTTTTTTTAAATATTGAAAGTTTTATTGTAGTGGTATCAGAAATCGGAAATAAAAGTTTCACTTCATCAATACTAACAAAAAAAAGTTCGAAAACTCTAGCATTACAATGAATGACTAATGATATATTTATACTTGATTTTATAAAGGGATCAAATGTTGTGGTATTACGAAAATAAGTCTACTAATAGTGTATGGGCTCAAGCGGGAATTACAATGCATTTGGATAGTTCAAATTTTATAGTTTTAATTACTCCTTGGTTCAATGTGCGCAACATGCAATTCAAGAAAATTTGACTAATGTTAATCTAACTTGTACTTCACAAGAATGGGATGAGTCTCATATAATAAAAATAATATTTGATCAACAAATAAAAAAAAGAAAAATTGCAACTAGCTTCTTAGATAATTGGCAAAACTTGTTTATTACCTGGATGCGTCAAGTTAATTCGATAATTGAATTTCATAACGCACTTAGTATAATATATCCACCTACCTATAAATTAAGTGATACGGAACTTCGTGCTTGGAGAGTGATGTTACAAGCCTGTGGTTGCACTGATATAACGCCTTATCCTAAAACTAATAACAGAAAAGAATTTTGGAGTCGATCAAGTGATCCAACAATTGACAAAGCTAATTTGAAACTACTATATAAACTTGGGTGTTTACAAACTAATTTAGAAGATTCAGAGTGTTTAGAAGAAAGTTACATAATTACTAACGAAAATGAAAATACTTTCTAGAATAGCTTTCGAAATGTATTAGTGTCCAACAAATGTGGTCGAAATAGAAAAACACGGATTTTGTCTATTATAGCAAATCAATTTATATATTTGCAACTTCGTGAAAAACTTTAGGTTTGTTCTTAAAATTTGCAATTACAATTACTAATAAATAACTTACATTTATGTAATTAGATAAGTTCAAATGCAGTAAACCTGGCATGCAAACATCTTCGGTTATATGGACCAGGTGTACCACTAATTGATGTACCAAAAAAAAGTGTTCAAAGAATGTCTGAAATTAAAGAAAAACAGTTTTTGGCATTTTTTCAAGATAAAAATAATGTCATACAAAACTCTTATCTAACTGATGCCAAAACTGGAATCCCTATTTTGTATATGCAAGACCAAAAAAAAGCTCTGTGGATAAAATTCAATGAGGAATATCCAAATGGAATGCGTCAAACTTCTTTTATGAGTAGATTAGCTGATTGTAAACATATTTGATATCGTGAGAATTTGGGGGGACTATGCATTATTTGTAACGAATATGGATTTGAAGTTTTTGAAAATTTGTTAGCTCTTGCATAGCAAACATTTACGGTAAAAGAAACATTAGTAAGTTATTGTACAAATAGATAAAACAATAAATAATAATAAAAAAAAAATAATAAAAAAATAAAATAGATAAAACAATAAATAATAATAAAAAAAAAATAATAAAAAAATAAAATAGAATAACAAAATAATGAATAAAATAAACAAAATAAAATAAATAAAAAAAGTTACGATATGATTTCCCGAAAGCTATTTCCCTAACATAACACTTACTCGAATCATGAATATGACAATTTGCTAAAAATATATACCTACAGTTAACGAAATACAAATTCTAACTCTATATAATGTTAGGGAAATAGTATTTTGAAAAAATTACTTTTAGGAAAGTAAGAATTAACAATAAAAAATATAATAAAAATAATAAATAAAAATATAAAATAAAAGATAGAAATAAATAAATAAACTACAAAAATAAAAATTCGCATAAATAAAAATATAGAAGAAAGTTTGACTCATGTAGACTTATCTCAGATCAAATCCTAAAAAATGAAATAATTATTGTTATTATGTTATTATATAAACAGAGTCCTATTATATCACAGATTGAAAACCTACATCGTCACCTTAAAAGAAATTTTGAACGTCATATAAAAGTCGAATCTGATAGAAAAGTATTATATTACAACTGCATCGATCATTGTTTGCCATTTGCTTTTGGAAAATGCTCGGATATATATAATTTGCATTGTCAAGATTGTTTAGAATTTTCTAACTTTTTTGATTTTATAAAAGAATATATTAGTGATAGTTCTCAATTATTAGAAATGCAAAAAAAACTAAAATACTTCCTTGCACATCATGCTAGAAAGCATTATTTGAATACATAATACAAAGCATCATTGGCAAGCCTTAATTCAGATGGTGCTATTATAATCGCAGATTATAAGATGCGAATTCTTCTGAAAACAGCAAGAGAAACAAAGCAAGAGTTTTTTGGTAAAAGAGGGTGGACATTACATACAATCTTGGTAATAACTAAAGAAGATAATAGTGTAGGTTTAAATATCAGTGCTTATGATCATTGGTCTACAGATATGAAACAAGATGCTTGGTTCACAGCATCTTATTTCGAAGCTATGTTTAACAATATAGAAAAGAAACCAAAATGGATAAGAGTAATTTCGGATAATGGACCACATTACTATAATAGTGAGTTAATAGTAATTGTAGCTCATTGGTTTGATTGGTATAATATCGAAGTTTGTGAATAGCTATTTTTAGAACCTGGTGAGGCAAAGACAATAGTCGACTCACATTATGCTGCAGTAAGTTATAAAAATAAAAATATATATAAATTTATAATAAATATAATAAACATAATAAATGTAATATATAATTTTTGATTTCATTTTTCTAGATAAGCCATGCTATCAAATGGTATGTTTGTGTAGGATATAATATAACAGAAGGATCTGATATTGTAGCTGCTGCATATAATTTAGCAGGAACATGCTTAGCAAATATTGTACCTAACTGAAATCAAGAAAAAAATGAAAGTTTAGTTGCTAAAAATAAAGAAAAAAAAAATCACGTATTAAAACTATTACAGGAATATCCAAGTACAATTCTTGGCAATGGCCAACTTATGGCCCATTAGCAGAGTATATTGTGGCTCGCCCATTGCTACGCTTTGGAACTCCTGTACATTTTTCTTCTGCTAAAGTTGCTAGTTTGTGTAATGATGAACTTCCTCGTCCTGAACCAATAATCTCAACACATACTGAACCACAATCAAAGTGGACAATAGTTTTACTAACACCCCAAGGTAAGAAAAATAAAATATATATAACTTACATCAATATTTATATAAATTTTATATATAGAAAACCAAAACCAAACCATAATAGCAAATGATAATATAGAGATGATAGGTAACAAACATAATCGCAAAAATACTGTCCTTGATGGATTGTCAGTACAATTCCTGATAGTATGAAAAAAATCAATTTTATGTACCATTCCTGATAGTGTTCTTAAAAGAACCCTAAGTCTGATTTCTCATAACAGTGCTTAGTACCGACAATCCATCAAGATCAGTTTTTTTGACATAATCTATTATAAAAAAATTTTATCTGTCTGAAATAAAAATAATTTTATAGATACAACGGGAGATAATGTAGAAAAAGGTAAATATAATATACTAGTTGAAATTTTTAATTTCGACTAGAGATAGTTGATAATATTTATTCATTATTTTCCCATTAAGCAAAACAAATTTGAAAATATAGAACAAAGTACTTGTATGATCACAGAACACATATCCAGTATTGATTTTTCTTGGAATAAGGAGTGAGCATTATGTGAAAATTTGATATGTGGAAATCGAGGTAGAGGTAAACGAATGTCAAATATTGTCAAAAAAATGCTTGAACAAATATTCCTACAAGAAAATATTTACACCAAAGATCGGATAACAGCTAATGATATGCATAAAAGGTTGAAAGAATTCGCAGATAATAGTGAGTTGAAACAAGATGAAGTGCCAAAAATTTCAACAATTCAAGGATAGATATCACGGTACAACAAAGTGTTTCTGGCACAAGCAACAAGAACTGCGTTGGACTCTAATTTAGATAATGACTCTTCGATGGGTAATACATAACTCGACAACGGCTAGTAAAATTAGTTTAAATAATAGTTTTTTTTTTTTTGCTCTATGTTTTCAATTTAATTCATTCGATGTTTGTTCGTATTACACACCTTACTTTTTTTTTTTTGAACCTCATTCAATCTAGTTCGTTCGTATTGCACACCTTTTTTTTTCTTTTTTTTTATCATGATCTTGTGACTTTCGCTTCTTCTTTTACTTCTACCTGTTTTTTTTTGTAGTTTAAAGGAAAAAACAAAATTAAATATCTTTAGTGAAAAAAAACGAATATCAGGGTAAAGTTGGCTATTTGAAGTGCATTCTATATAGATTGGCACTTATGTCTAAGCCAGAAATGCCACTTCACGTCAAATGAAACTTTTTACCGAATGATCGCTACATTCTAAAACTTGTACTTCTTATTACTTAGGTATTGGTGTGTTAAAATTTTGTAAAACTTCTTTAATATAGTTAGTCGTACAATCATGTTAGCTTTGAACTAAAAAAGAATAATTAGAATTATTTAATAATGATTTGCATTATGTTTTACTAATAAATTGATCATCATTCCGAAACGTTATTTCAATTAAATATATTTTCAAAAAATTCCAACCTAAAATCTAGAAATCCTCTTTGTACAAGTTAGCAAAAATATCTTTAAATAGATTTAAACAATATAAAAATTTGTCTAATTGACAATACTAACTTAGAATTAAGCTATAATAAATTACTCAGATAATCTAAGTAATTTAATCAGAAATTTTTTGATAGGTCTGATTTAGAGTTAATACTTTACTATGTTTTATATCTGGATATATTCAGATAAAAAATAAATTTGAATTTAAATTATTATATTTTATTATAGCTAAAAATACAACTCTCCTCGATGATTTCTAAAACCAAAATAACAATGAAAAAGAAAAACTTTTATACATATAATAATACTCTATTTTCTAACATAATATATATGAGTAAGACTAGAAAAACTAGAAGTTCAATAAAATATGTTCTTTTGTTAGAGAGTAGGCTACAAGCTATTCATAGATTATTGGCGCTTTTATATATTGTATATATTATATATCTTGTATATATTTTATATACTTTATCGTTAGAAATAAACTTTGTGGATATAAAAATTAAAGAAAATACTTGGATAGAGTTGAGTATAATACTATTCCTTAAACTTTTCAAGTTTATTTTGGATATCCTTACTCTCACTTTTAAACCTTTGGTTAGTCTTGGGAACAGTTTTGACTGTTTAGTGAACTTGGAGTATTTTTTATATAAAAAGTGGATAATAGAGCTCATCTCCTACCAAAGATCGGCATACACATCATCGACAAATTTGAAAATAGGCTTATAGTGTGACAACAACAAATATGTGTATGTTTTGGAGTTAGCACAACAAATACATGATTTTATTTTGCAATATAAACTATGAGTTTACTGCAATAATAATAAGCCATCATGTGTTCGACAAAATAACTAAATCATTATCGAATATTAGAGATATTTGCAAATAAGTGCATTTTGCATTTATAATTTTTAACTACCCAGTCTTGAATAAGATTGTATGTTTAGGTTATGATTCTTACAAGATACCTTTTATTTTCTTTTTCTTTCTTTTTGTTTTGTACTTTTTCTTTTAGCTTGTTAGGTTTTTATCTTGTTAGCAAGTTTTCCTAACTTTGCTTTAAACATTATATGTAGTATGTGGCCTTGCTTTTCACTATATGTACTAATTTTATTTTACTTTTATCAATGTCTGTCTTTCTAGACAGTCAAACAAAATTGTCTAGACTTCTCTTTTTCTTTATGTTAAAGAGGTTTTTAGTGCGACAGGTCACGTTTGGGTATATATTCAAATGGAGTATTAAGCAATACTTTCTATTAGGAAATTAGATATATAGGAAGGAACTATATGTTCTTGTATTAAGTTAAATCTTAGGCAGACTAGCCATCTGCAACTCTTTATCTAAAAAATACATAAAGCACGACTGTCAAAGGAAAAAAAAAAAAATTATTATATTTTATTATAATTTATAGCAAAATATTAATTTAGAAATAAATATATTTAAATTGAAGTATTAACTCTAGTTTGGTCTAAGAATATTCTCGAGCACTTTACTTAACTAGTAGAGAAAAACTTTTAATCAAAGCAAAAACTAAATATTTATTAGGCTAGTAAGTATAGAAGTAGAAATTTTTTTTTTATAATAAACTAGAGAATCAAATTTAAAAGTTGCTTGAAAATACCCTTAGTAAATTCAGAAATAGCAAGTATTTAAATTTTTAATTTTAAAAACTATAAATTATTTAACTTTTTTTATTTTAT